ATATTTTTAGTAGTGACAGTTTCACCATATTGGCCAGGCTGGTCTCGAACCCCTGACCTCAGATGATCCACCTGCTTCGGACTCCCAAAGTGGTGGGATTACAGGCATGAGTCACTGCTCCTGGCCTAGCAAATGCTTTCTTGAATCTGAATTTCCTTCTCAACATTACACTATGTGCCCTAGCTTTGAACCCTTTGTGCTTTTGTTGTCTTTTGTTCTTCTGAGAGGGAGTCTAGCTCTGTCTCTCAGACTGGAGTGCAGTAGCATGATCTTGGCTCCCCGAAACTTCCACCTCCCAGGTTCAAGCAACTCTGTGCCTCAGCCTCCAGAGTAGCTGGGATTACACCATGCCCAGCTAATTTTTGTGTTTTTAGTAGAGATAGGGTTTCACCATCTTGGCCAGGCTGGTCTTGAACTCCTGACCTCGTGATCTACCCGCCTCAGCCTCCCATAGTGCTGGGATTACAGGCTGGAGCCACCACACTGGGCCGAACTCTTTATTTCACATAGTTAGATTTATTCACTCCTGGAGGCAGGGACCTCTTGCTCCTTCTTCCTCCAACCCCTTTAAAATAACTAAAACACTCTGACATCGTGCAATATTCTAAATACAATATTTATTTCTTTTTGTAAAAAGCTTTTAATACTAGTCTAGAGCAGTAGTGACAAGTGAGGAAGATTGGAGCAAGGAATTTGATCTGTAACTGACCCTGAACAATAGAGATAACTCACTATCTAGATAGTTCACTATTTGGATGCTGTATTATTAGAGTCAACAGCTTTATTTCATCCCACATCAGCTAATTGGAGCAACAACAGCCAAGGTCAAGATAAGAGAATTGTCATAGGTGCTGGACTGTTCTCTCCCCAACACCATCACCTCCCTCATATCCTCCCACATGTTCTTCTTCCTCCTCTTCTAACACCTACCCAAAAATTGAAGAGGGGATTCTCTTCTGGCCAATAATATTATATTGTTCCAGAGCAAGGTTCTATGTTTGCTAAACTTTGAAAGGGATTCTTAGATATTCCTCCTCTCCCTGGGCCTAGACTTATTAGAGGTTACAAAGAAATTCCTTTTACATTGGGTCAAAGAGCCCCTGAGGGTAGGGTGGAAAAAAGGAAGTCATCAATACCCTGGTAACAACAGTGTTGTTCAAGGTCAAGACCATTCCCCCCCTCTTATTTTTCTTTTCTTTTTCTTTTTTTTTGAGATGGAGTTTGGAGTTTCGCTCTTGTTACCCAGGCTGGAGTGCAATGGCACAATCTCGGCTCACCGCAACCTCCGTCTCCTGGGTTGAAGCAATTCTCCTGCCTCAGACTCCCAAGTAGCTGGGACTACAGGCGCGCACCACCATGCCCAGCTAATTTTTGTATTTTTAGTAGAGACGGGGTTTCACCTTGTTGACCAGGATGTTCTCGATCTCTTGACCTCGTGATCCACCCGCCTCGGCCTCCCAAAGTGCTGGGATTATAGGCGTGAGCCACCGTACCCGGGCAATTAGGAGTATTTTTAACAATTCGGTTTGATGGTTTAGTCTTCTGAACTCTACAGTAGACCTTAGAATTTGGTATACATAGTAATTCCGTCCTTGAATATCAAAAATCTTTAGTTAGAGTAAGATCTGACAAATTCAAAGCTGAACCATGAGTCAGAAATTTTTTTCCAGCACCATAGGAAAAGTGATAAAAAAACAAAATTTAAAAATAAAATATTTGTTGGGTTTTTGTTGGTTTGTTTTCTTTTGTTTTGTTTTGATTTGAGAAGGAGTTTCACTATTGTTGCCCAGGCTAGAGTACAATGGCTTGATCTCAGCTTACCACAAACTCTGCCAATTTTCCTGCCTCAGACTCCTGAGTAGCTGCTATCACAGGCCCACACCATCACGCCTGGCTGTCTTCTATCTTTAGGAGAGACAGGGGTTTCACCATGTTGGTCAGGCTGGTCTCGAACTCCTGACCTCGTGATCCACCTGATTCAACCTTCCAAAGTGCTGGGATTACAGGCTTGAGCCACCTTGCCCACCTGATTGTGTTCTTATAGGCATAACAGGCAAAATAAGTGAAGAATATCCTGTATAATTCCATTTGTAAACTCTAGACTAGCAGTTTCAGTAGCTGTGCTGTTCGTCTTTCCATTGCTGGTAATTGGGGAGTACTCTACCTCCCAGAGGAAGGAGGACTGTTTGTTGTAAATTAAAGACTCATTGTTCAAGGCTCATGGAATTGTCAGTTTAGGGGACCTGAGGCAAAGAGCATTGTTGTTTTTAAGAGTTATTTTGTATCACATTGATGTGCAGTTCAATATTTAAATGTCAGGAAATGACTCCTAAACTATTTGTTTACAAAAGCCTAGTTCTCATTTAAGCCCATTCCTTCATCAACAAATAATGATTTTCTACTTTTTGCCTGGTTCTCTCTAGGAGAGTAGTTCTTAAACAATAGCATTCAAATCACCTGGTTTCAATGGGGGACTGTCATCAAAAAAAAAAACACAAAAATCACAGGGAGAACTTTAAAACAGATTCCCCGTCCCTCCCACCAAAGATTCCTACTCAGTGGTGAAGCCCTCAATCAGCATCTCTAACAAGCTCTCAGGTGGTGCTGAGGATGCTGGTGACTGAACCAGACATCCTCTTTTAGGGCTGCAGATAAGACAATAAATAAAACAGGCAAAAAATAAAAATAACTGTGCTCAGTGGCTCACACCTGTAATCTCAGCACTTTGGGAGGCCGAGGTGCGTGAATCACCTGAGGTCAGGAGTTTGAGACCGGCCTCGCCAACATGGCGAACCCGGTCTCTACTAAAAACACAAAAAAATTAGCCAGGCATGGTGGTGTGTGCCTGTAATCCCAGCTACTTGGGAGGCTGCGGCAAGAGAATTGCTTTAACCCTGGAGGTGGAGATTGCACCATTGCACTCTAGCCTGGGCAACAAGAGTGAAACTCCATCTTAACAAACAACAAAAAAATTCCTCTCACAGAGGTTACATTCTAGTGGTAGTAGAGAGATAAGTCAGATACATAGGTAGGTAGGTAGGGAGGTAGGTAGATAGGTAGATAGAGAGAATGTATATTACCTCTGTCACCTGGACAAAGGGTATGTTCACATTTGGCATGTGTGTCAACCCAAGCTGCACCTGATCTGAGCTTTTCTTTTTCTTTTTTTTTTTTTGAGAAATAGATTGCTCTGTCACCCAGGCTGGAGTGCAGTGGGGCAATCTCAGCTCACTGCAACCTCCACCTCCTGGGCTCAAGCAATTCTCCTGCCTCCCAGCAATGGGGATTACAGGCGCCTGCCACCACGAGTGGCTGATTTTTGTATTGTTAGTAGAGATGGGGTTTCACCATGTTTGCAAGCCTGGTCTCCAAGTCCTGACCTTGTGATCCACCCACCTCGGCCTCCCAAACTGCTGAGACTACAGGCGTGAGCCCCCACTCCCAGCCCACTTGACCTTTTCTAATTATCTTCAAGGCTGCCTATTGCCCTATCCAAATCCTATTACTTGAATTATTTTAAAAATCTCCCATTTTGGTTTTGGTGGGGTTTGGTCAGCTCCTTTACTATACCCTGTTTTATCAACAAGGCCTTTATTGTGTGCCGACCTCCCATCGCATCCTGTGACTTACCATGCCTTGACTGTCTGGGAATGTAGCCCAGTAGGTTTCATCCTCATTTTACCCAGCTCCTGTTTAGATGGAGTTGTTCTGATTCACGTGTCTGATCGTGAGATCCTCACTGAGTGTTAGTTGCTGTGTTCTCTCCTGTAACTCCCTCCTGTTGCACTCCTGCCTTTAAGTCCTGTTAAACATTTTGGAACCCATCATTTTCTCTCATGCCTTTACCCAAACTGCTAATTTTCTGGAATTCCCTTCACTCCACATTTTTCCTTCTTAGATCACTGACGATTGTCCAGTCCTCCCTCCCATCCCTCCTCGACCCCAACCTCCATTATTTCTACTCTCTTAGCATTCAGTGCATTTTTTCAGTACTTACTACACAACATTATCATTATAATTAACATTATAATTTTCTTTTTCATCTATTTGATCTACTCTACTAAATTTTTAGCACTTTTGTTTTATTTTTTTAGAGACAGGGTTCCTCCATGTTGGTCAGGCTAGTCTCAAACTCCCAACCTCAGGTGATCCATCCACCTCGGCCTCCCAAAGTGCTGGGATTACAGATGTGAGCCACCTCACCCAGACATCACCTTTTTTTTTTTTTTTTTTTTTTTTGAGACAGGGTCTCATTCTGATGCTCAGGCTGGACCGAAGTGGCACAATCTGGGCTCACTGCAACTTCTGCCTCCCAGGTTAAAGTGATTCTCCTGTCTCAGCCTCCCTAGTAGCTGGGATTACAGGCATGCACCACTACACCCAGTTAATTTTTGAATTTGTAGTTGAGACAGAGTTTGTTGGCCACGCTGTTCTTGAACTCCTGATCCACCCACCTTGGGCCTCATAAAGTGTTGGGATTACAGGAGTGAGCCACCGTGCCTGGCCTATTAGCTCATTTTAACACCTTTTTACGATAGCCTGTTCCAAAAAAATCCAAAATCAGACAGCTTCCTAAACCTCAACTTTATTCAAATTGCTTTCCTTGGCGAAGAATGTAGTAAGTCGGCCTTCCAGCCACCAGCCCCCTTCCCGTTGGTCTTTCACTCCGGAGGCGCTTACCCTAGACACAATGGGACAGAAAGTGGGGGATGGGGGAATTCAGGTCAGGCTTTTATGCAAAGACCCCCTTCTGCAAAGAACAAAGCTTCTGGTACCTACCCTTTCCAGAGCTGCGGGCAAACTCAGCCTTGATGAGTCTTGGTGGCCTTGACAGTCCCCAATTACCAAACTGTGCTGATTAAGAATGAAAGGAAGGCAAATTTTTCCCTTTTTTAAAGCAAATCTTCCTATTTCTAACAAGACACAGACTATCTGCCTGAAGCATGATGTATCTACTTCCACTTACCTGCTCCCCGCACCCTATTCTTACTCTTCTCCAGAATGGAGGTCTGAGAAGAAAAAAGATCATGCCACATTTCATCTCCTTGCTTCGCACCCAGCAATACTTCTACTCTCAACAGCTGGAGCCTTTGCATTGTGAACAAAAGTCAGCTTGCGTGGGAGTAAAGCCAGCCGTTCCGGGTGCAGACCCCAGAGGCAGAGTGCAGAGGAGAAAGAGTCAGAGAGTTGTGTCTTCAAAAATGACATAATCGGGATTTGCTTAAGAGTTTACTTTTCAGGGTGGGAGATGGAAAAGAGAAAGAAATCTTACGTTTCTTAAATGTTGGGTTTGGGAACAGGAAGGAAAATAAAAACTGCAGACTTTGTCCGCAAATGTTAGTGCTGGAACCCCACTCTAAAAACTTTGTTCCTTTGGAAACCATACCTCCCTTCACCCTGCAAAAACAAAACAAAGCAAAACCCAAACACAGGATGAGCACGGAGTAGTCCTGAAAGACACGACAATATCACCAGACCCGAGAAGAAGCTAAAGAGCCAGAGGAAAAAAGCCAGAAGTCGACTGCCTGGCAGGAGGGATAGACAAGAGACCAAACTGAAGGGAACTAAGGTAGGGGCTGAAAACAAGTACCATTTTGAACATTAACTGATGACTGTGTTGTGTTTTACTATGACCTCAGAGTGAATCAAAGAAGAAAATGGAGCTAGTTGAAATTTCTGCCCAAACTAGACAGACTTTGAGACACCAAGTTATCTCAAATCAAGAAATCTCCCCAATGAGAATTTCAGTAACCTCAGAAATTGAAGGTGCACTCATTCTTTTTTTTTTTCTTTTGAGACACAGTCCTGCTCTATCGCCCAGGCTGGAGTATAGTGGCACGATATCGGCTCACCTCAACCTCTGCCTCCCGGGTTCAAGGGATTCTCCCGCCTCAACCTTCCAAGTAGCTGTGACTACAGGCTCCCCCTCACCACGCCGGGTTAATTTTTGTATGTACACACACACACACACACACACACACACACACACACACACACACACATGATTTTTTTTTTTTTTTTTTGACCCGGAGTTTTGCTCTGTTGCCGGGCTGGAGTGCAGTGGCGCGATCTCGGCTCACTGCAATCTCTCCCTTCCGGGTTCAAGCGATTCTCCTGCCTCAGGCTACCGAATAGCTGGGAAAACAGGCGCCCCCCACCAGCCCGGCTACTTCTGTATATTTAGTAGAGACGGGGTTTCACCGTGTCGACCAGGATGGTCTCGATCTGTGACCTCGTAATCCGCCTGCCTCGACCTTCGAAAGTGCTGGGGTTACAGGCGTCAGCCACCGTGCCTGGCCTTTTTATTTTTAAAATATTAAAGTTTTATCCCATTCCTGTTGAACCATTCCTCATTTAAAAGGTTGAAACGTGGTGAACCTACAAGTATTTATTGCTGGGTTAGTCTTCAGGGTCCCCTTTGCCCGGTTTTCCAGCTCCCCAGCTAGTCTGGGTTACTGCGCCGTTACTTTTGCATTACAATGGCCTTGGTGAGACTGGCAGACAGGATTAACTGAGAATTCACAAGGGTGGGTCGGAGGGGGGTGTGCCCACCAGGAGGGGTGGGTCTAAGGTGATAGAGCCTTCATTATAAATCTAGAGCCTCCAGGATGTTAACGTTTTGCTGGTCTCAGCTGGTTGCCTCCAGTTACTGCGGAGGCGACTCACTTCATTCCAACTTTCTGATACTTTCTTCTGGAGATCATATTTCTCTAAAACCTTCCAGGAAAAAGTCTTAAGGCTGCCTTAGCCTTTTTTCCAGTCCAGGTCTTAATTTTTTTCCTCCTCTTCCCCAATAATAACATGAGTATGGATCCAGTTTGTTCACAAAGCCTGCCTTGCTCCGAAGCATCCGACTGTGGAGAATCTTCACCTACGCCTGTGATTTGTGAGCCTGAAGAAAATTATCCATCCTTGCAAATGTGTTCTGCTGAGATGCCTCACACAGAGACTGGTAAGAAGCAAATTAATCCTTTTTTTTTTTTTTTCTTCAATAGAGACGGGATTTTGCCATGTTGGCCAGGCTGATCTTGAACTCCTGACCTCGGGTGATCATGCACCACCTCAGCCTCCCAAAGTGCTAAATTCTAGGATTACAGGGTGCGCCTGGTGGAAACAAATTTATCCTTGAAAAGGCCAAGTTCCTTAAGGAAAAAGGGAAGGAGAGGATTAAGAGATCATTTCCCTCTTGAGCAATGATACCCCATCACTAATAAGCAAGTGATATTATCAACCAGTCCTCTGGAAAACCCCCCCTTTCGATTGTAACTTGGTGGCACCTGCCCTTTGAACTATGGCTCAGGTCTCAGGAGTGTGCACTGAGTTGAAGGACAGAATTAGGCAGCTGAGCAGTGTACTGTAAATATGAGAGCCTATGGGCTTAGGCACAGTGGAAATAGAAATGTATCGCCATAGTTAAATGAGGGTGATGCGTACATCTTCACATAGCACTGGGCACACAGTTATGGCAGATGTTATTGCTAATTAACCAGAAGAACTTACATCACAGCTCGGGATGAGCATCATATTTTTGTTTTGCCAAAAATGGCAAGGGAAATCATGATGAGATTTATGTAATTAATATGTAATTACATTTTTTTTTTATACTGAGTTTGGAGTTTGGCTCTTGCTACCCAGGCTGGAGTGCAATGGCTCTATCTCGGCTCACCACAACCTCCGCCTCCTGGGTTCAGGCAATTCTCCTGCCTCAGCCTCCTGAGTAGCTGGGATTACAGGCGCGCGCACCATGCCCAGCTAATTTTTTGTATTTTTAGTAGAGACGGGGTTTCACCTTGTTGACCAGGATGGTCTCGATCTCTTGACCTCTTGATCCACCCGCCTCGGCCTCCCCTAATTACATTCTTTCTGTGTCAGTAATGGCTGGCTCTCCTCTATTCTCTGGGTTTGTGGAAGTTACTGGACAGCTCTGAGTTTGGGAGCACTTCCCATGTTTACTTCTCCTAAGTCCCTGGGAAGTGTTGACCCAACTTTCTGGTAAAGATTCATTCCAGAAACTTTAATCTACTGACACTGAAAATAGGACTTAGCTAGAAGTCCAGTTTGACTTCAAAACCTGTGCCAGTTCTCGTGCTTCTGACTGTAGCAGCAATGGGTGAGGAATACTCATAAAACCGCTACCACTTTCTTGAAAATCAATTTTTCAGAGGTTTTAAAAAATTTAAAAGTGAACCAACTTCACCAAGAATGCCTTTGGTAACATTGATGCTATAAAATAGCTTAAAAATGGCGGGGGGAGTGCTAAAAAAAAAAAAAAAACAGTTTAAACTGCATTTACATTATGAATTCACTTGTAAAGAGTAGGTTGTGGGAGAGGAATAAACAAACACGATTGCTGTATTTGCGCCTTAGATTTGAATGTCACCTTGTTTTTTGCTCTCTTTTTTTTTTTTTTTTTTTTGAGAGTTTTGCTCTTGTTGCCCAGGCTGGAGCGCAATGGCTCAATCTTGGCTCACTGCAATCTCCGCCTCCCGGGTTCAAGTGATTCTCCTGCCTCAGCCTCCTGTGTAGCTGGGATTCCAGGCATGCACCACCATGCCTGGCTAAGTTTTTGTATTTTTTAGTAGAAACAGGGTTTCGCCATCTTGGCCAGGCTGGTCTCAAACTCCTGACCTCAGGTGATCCGCCTGCCTCGGCCTCCCAAGGTGTTGGGATTACAGGCTTGAGCCACTGCACCTGGTCGTCTTTATAATTTAAAGTGTTAAAAATACAGGGCTGGGTTTGGGAATGAGCAAGTGGGCATGTTTTCTTTTAGCACATATCAAGTGACAGTTTGCATAGCTAGTTAATATTTAGGACTTTCACCAATTCTAATAATCGGTTGAAGACTTCCTCTGCTTTTCAGATCTACTTGTAAGAGGCAGGAGATTAACGTTTTCCTGTTGTAGAGCCTGCCCATTTGCTTTATGAGTGCAGGGATGCATTGAGAGTTGAATCCTAGGATCACCGCAGAACAATTAAGTATTTAAGTGACGACTAAGTCTAAGTACTATAGGAAATTAACTTCTAGTTATAAAATCAGTATATGCCAGGCCCCAGGTAGATAATTATAATCGGTTACCTCATTTTAATAAATAATGCTGGAGATGAGGTCAGATAGCTTAGTTAAAGGGATTGAAACAAGCCTATCCAAATTCATCTGCCGCTGGTCCCAGCCTTGTGAGCTGGGCAGTCAGTTGCTGGTTTTTTTTTTTTTTTTACTTGTTTAATTTTTATTTTTTTGCCCCACCCACCCCTCTTTATTTTTAATTTTTGAGACACCATCTCACTCTGTCGTCCAGGCTGGAGTGTGGTGGTGCAATCTCTGCCCACTGCAATCACCGCCTCCCAGGTTCAAGCGATTCTCTTGCTTCAACCTGCCCAGAAGCTGGGATTACAGGCTTGTGCCACCACTCCTAGCTAATTTTTGTAATTTTTAGTAGAGATAAGGTTTTGCCATGTTGGTCATGCTGCTCTTGAACTCCTGACCTCAAGTGATCTGCCTGCCTTGACCTCCCAAGGTTCTGGGATTGCAGGCGTGAGCCACCACACCAGTCATGTCATTTAAACAGTCACGTAGATGGTGATGAAGATCATTGAACAAAATGATTTAGGGTGAGATGCAGTAGGTGGAAATTGGTGGATCTCTATTGTGACTTGTTAACAGCCAATGTGGGGGCTTTTTAGCATAAGTTGAAAGTAAAAAGTGGTAGCACCAGCAGGGCAGGGTGGCTCAAGCCTGTAATTCCAGTACTTTGGGAGGTGGAGGCGCGTGTATCACATGAGGTCAGGAGTTTGAGACCAGCCTGACCAACATGGAGAAACCCTGTCTCTACTAAGAACTGCCTGAATCCCAGCTATTCAGGAGGCTGATGCAGGAGAATCACTTGAACCCAGGAGGCAGAAGTTGCTGTGGACTCCAGCCTGGTCAACAAGAGGAAAACTGCAATTCAATAAAAAAAACAAGTGGTAGCGCCGCTCAGCAATGGTATTGTTGTGCCTGCCATTACAGATCTCTCTCCCAACTCCGTCCATTATATGCAAAATGGAGATACTGAGACTTCTTGGATTAATACTGTACAAAGTATCCAGGGTTGGTTAAGAAGGTGCTCCTTACTACTTAGAACTTGGGTTGTGGGGATTATCAAAGTACTTTGAAAACATTTATTAGCAGTGTATTTTAATAATTTGAAAAAAGTTTCAGAGAAAAGCGTCCTTTTATTTGTTCCCAACAGTCTCCCCTCTTCCTTCCTCCATGGATCTGCTTACTCAGGACAGCCCTGATTCTTCCACCAGTCCCAAAGGGAAACGACCCACTGCTGCAGAGAGTAGCCCTGCAGTGAAGGAAGACAAGGTCCCGGTCAAGAAACAGAAGACCAGAACTGTGTTCTCTTCCACCCAGCTGTGTGTACTCAATGATAGATTTCAGAGACAGAAATATCTCAGTCTTCAGCAGATGCAAGAACTTTCCAACATCCTGAATCTTAGCTACAAACAGGTAGGATTGTTTTGTCATTGCAATAAGGTTAGCAAAAATTAGGCTAATTTGCATGGCTAAGATCTCTGTGGATGCACATAGATGTGTGTGCTGTGTGTCAGCACATCTGCTCTTGCAATTAAGTATGAAGATGCAATGCTTTTGTAACTTTCACCACCTCCTTATTTCATTAAATATTATGTGAATGTGACATAATTTAACCAGTCTTTTCTTGCATAGACGAATATTGTGAAAATCTTACCAACATTTTCTATTGTTTTTTTTTTTTTTTTGAGATGGAATCTTGCTCTTGTTGCCCAGGCTGGAGTGTAATGGCACAATCTCTGCTCACTGCAACCTCTGCTTCCCCGGTTCAAGCAATTCTGCCTCAGCCTCCCAAGTAGCTGGGATTACAGGCACATGACACCACACCTAGCTAATTTTCTGTAGTTTTAGTAGAGATGGGAATTCACTATGTTGGCCAGGGTGGTCTTCGAACTCCTGACCTCAGGCGATCCACCTGCCTCAGCCTCCCATAGGGCTGGGATTACAGGTGTGAGCCACTGTGCCCGGCCCAGTGTTTTCTTAATCAAAAAGAAGTATGTAATCTGTACTCACACTAGTTCTCATTAAAATAATTTTTTTTTCTTTCTGCCAGCAACCTCCAGCTTGTTTTGTTTTTATCTGTGTGCATTTGCTTGCTAATAAGGCCAATCACTGTTGATTACTTATTGGCCATTTTCTTTCATTAATTGGCTTATCCTCTTCGAGGCTTTATTTCCTTCTCATGAGTGTCACTCTGTTGCCCAAGTTGTAGTGCAGTGGTGTTACAATTTGGCATAATGAGAAGTTGTAATGACATCAATTCTACTTTGGCTGGTTTAAGTACAAATGAATGAAACCTCCACCTCCAGGTTCAAGGGATTCTCCTGCCTCAGAGTCCCAAGTACCTGGGATTACAGCTGCCCACAACTACACCTCGTGAATTTTTTTGTATTTTTAGTAGAGACTGGGTATCACCATGTTGGCCAGGATGGTTTTCAACTCCTGAGTTCAAGTGATCCACCCGCCTCAGCCTCCCAAAAAACTAGGATTACAGCCATGAACCACCATGCCTGGCCCTAGCCTTTATTTTCTTTCCAAATGTTCGTTTTTACTTTTTTTGAGACAGTCTTGCTCTGTCGTCCAGGCTAGAGTCCCGTGGTGCAATCTCTGCTCACTGCAACATTTACTTCCTGGGTGCAAATGATCCTCCCACCTCAACCTCCTGAGAAGCTTGGATTGCAGACATGCAGCATTACACCCAGCTAATTTTTTGTGTTTTTGTAGAGATGTGTTCCCTTGTGTTGGCCAGACTGGCCTGAACTCTTGGGCTCAAGCAATCTGCCCACCTTGGCCTTCCAAAATGTTGAGATTATAGGCTTGAGACATGGCGCCGGCAGGAATAAAAGTTAGCAGTACTCTTTTATTCAAAGTACTTCTATATTACTAATATTTTACAATTTCTGTCTTTTTTTTTCCTGCAGGTGAAGACTTGGTTCCAAAACCAGAGAATGAAATCTAAGAGGTGGCAGAAAAACAACTGGCCAAGGAACACCAGTGATGTGACTCAGGTAACAGGAAACTTGATTCTGCTCTTTCCTTTCAGTGATCTTTCAGTCTTGTCCGTCCCTGAAACACACAGCTCCAGTCACAGACAGCTGTGGTTGGCCTTGCACCCTTTCTGTTAATCCTTCCTTCTCTTTCAGAAGGCCTCAGCACCCACCTACCCCAGCCTCTACTCTTCCTACCACCAGGGATGCCTGGTGAACACAGCTGGGAACCTTCCGGTATGGAACAACCAGACCTGGAGCAATTCAACCTGGAGCAACCAGACCCGGAACATCCAGTCCTGGAGCAACCACTCCTGGAACACTCAGACCTGGTGCACCCAGTCCTGGAACACTCAGGCCTGGAGCAGTCCCTTCTATAACTGTGGAGAGGAACCTCTGCAGTCCTGTATGCAGTTTCAGCCAAATTCTCCTGCCAGTGACTTGGAGGCTGCCTTGGAAACTGCTGGGGAAAACCATAATGTAATACAGCAGACCACTAGGTATTTGAATACTTCACAAACCATGGATTTATTCCTAAACTACTCTACGAACATGCCACCTGAAGATGTGTGAAGATGAATGAAACTGACACTACTCAGTTTCACTCTGAGCACTGGCTGAATCCTTTCTCTCACCTCCTCCCCTTCCTCGTAGGATTTTTCTTGTTTGGAAACAACGTGTTCTGTTTACATTATGCCTACCCAGTCAATCTGAAAGGAGGGTGGGGTATGGTTGGAGCCTAATCAGAGAGGTTTCTTTGTTTTTTCCTGTTGGATCTTCCTGGAGAAAAGATATTTTAATAACCTTGGCTACTAAGGACACCGTGATAGAAGCTGTCTCTGGCTAGAGATAAGTAGATCTAATACTAGTTTGGATATCTTTAGGGTTTAGAATCTTAACCTCAAGAATAAGAAATAAAGTATAAATTGGTGTGATGAAGGTATGTTCCTATTTTTTGGGATTGGGAGGGTTTACTTATTTTTTTAAAACAGGTATGGCCGGGCACAGTGGCTCACAACTGTAATCCCAGTACTTTGGGAGGTCGAGGCAGGCTGATCACTTGAGGTCAGCCTGGCCAACTTGGTGTAACCCTGTCTCAAAAAAAAAAAAAAAAAAAAATGAAAAACTCTGAGGTAAGGGGTTAAGCTGTAACATACTTAATGATTTCCTCACTCTTGGTTCTGGTTTACTATATCCCCTGAATTGTTGGTATGCTAATATTTATAGAAAGAGGTTTTATATTTGCTGAATCATAATGACATTAGTACTACTTCGGCTGGTTTAAGTATAAATGAATGAAATAACAATTTTTCCTTTGGTTGACTTTACCCAGATTGCACCTAGTGTTTCAATGAGTAAAAATACAGCGTAAACGTAAGTGTTTGTTACATTTTTGGTTGGGGTGAAGGAAAAAGTTAGCTGAGAAGACTGCTATCTTAGCAGCAGCTAAGTGTGGGGGGTCCAGGCCTGTAGTCCCAGCTACTTGTGAGGCTGAGATGGGAGAATCGCTTGAACCCGGTTGGCTGAGGTTGCAGTGAGCCAAGATCATGCCATTGCACTCCAGCCGGGGCAACAACAGCAAACTCTCCTAAAAACAAATAAATCTGCCAGTTTTTTTTTCTAGGGCACTTCAGTGTCTTGTAGCTAGTCTACAAATGTAATGGGTTATTTCACTATATAATGTTAACATTTAAAGTTTTCATCAGAGGCCAATATATAAGTTGAAATAGATCTATGTTCTCACTTTAAGAACAGCTATGCAGGCATCTATGAATTATAATCCTTAACCGTTCTTTTCACATCTTGTCCCTGCCCTAAATGCATCTGATCTGGGAACACTTCCCTTCACTCTGAAGCAGCATGATGCAGGGGATGACCAAAGGGGTTTTTTCCAGGCTTCTTGTTCGTTATTTTCCCAAATGTCCAGTGTCACTCTCTAAGCCTATTCAATCTAATTGTATAGATGCTGGCCAAAAGAAGTTAGGGATAGTTGCAAGTGTGTATGTATATATTATTTTGTTTGATTTTAGTCCACTCTATTGTCCAGGCTGGAGTGCACTGGTACAACTCTTTTTTTTGTTTTATTTTGAGCCAGAGTCTCACTCTGTCCCACAGCATGGAGTGCATTGGGGCAATCTGGGCTCACTCTAACCTCCACCTCCCCAGTTCAAGTGATTCTTTTCCTGCCTCAACCTCTCTAGTAGCTCGGATTACAGGGGTGCACCGCCATGCCCAGTTAACTTTTGTATTTGTAGTAGAGACTGGGATTTGCCATGTTGGCCAGGCTGGTCTGGAACTCCTGACCCACCTACCTTGGCCTCTCAAAGTGCTGGGATTACAGGCATGAGCCACTGCACCCGGACTTTTTTTTGCTTTTTTTTGAGAGATGACTTTTGCTTTTTCCCCTTGCTGGGATAATATGCATGAGTCAGTGTCCAGTCAGGATTTTTTTTTTAAAGATGGTGTGTCAATAACCTTTTTTTTTTTTTTTTTTTGGAGATGGAATGTCTTTCTTGTCACCCAGGCTAAAGCGCAATGACAAAATCTCTGCTCACTGCAACCTGCACCTTCTGGGTTCAAACAGTTCTCTTGCAGGCCAGGCGTGGTGGTTCAGGCCTGTAATCCCAGCACTTTGGGAGGCCGAGGCGGGTGGATCACGAGGTCAAGAGATCAAGATCATCCTGGTCAACATGGTGAAACCCCGTCTCTACTAAAAATAAAAAAAATTAGTTGGGCATGGTGGCGCGTGCCTGTAATCCCAGCTACTCAGGAGGCTGAGGCAGAAGAATTGCCTGAACCCAGGAGGCGGAGGTTGCGGTGAGCCGAGATGGAGCCATTGCATTCCAGCCTGGGTAACAAGAGCGAAACTCTATCTCCAAAAAAAAAAACAATTCTCTTGCCTCAGCCTTTCAAGTAGCTGGGATTACAGGCATGTACCACCACCATGCCTGGCTAATTTTTTTGTATTTAGTAGAGATGGGGTTTAACCATGTTGGTCAGGCTGGTCTGGAACTGACCTAAAGTAATCTCCCTGCCTCGCCCTCCCAAAATGCTGGGATTTACAGGCGTGAGCCACTACACCTGGCTGTCACTAATGTTTCAAAAAAATTACTGGTTCGGGACCCTGCACTGTTTAATTTGCTTTTTCATTTGTTTAATTTGCTTTTGGAAATTAACCATTAATGCAAATATGATTTGCTTTCTATACCCAATAGGGTATAGAATATTAAATTTAAGGTGAAGACCAAGGGGCAGGAGGTAGGAGAATCCCTTGTACCCTGGAGGCTGAGGCAGGAGAATCGCTTGAACCCAGTAGGTGGAGGCTGCAGTGAGCTGAAATCGCACCACTGCATTCCAGCCTGGGCAACCTAGTGAGACTGTTTAAAAAAATTAAACATCTGGGCACGATGGCTAATGCCTGTAGTCCCAGCACTTTGGGAGGCTGAGGTGGGTGGATCACCTGAGGTTGGGAGTTCCAGACCAGGCTGACCAGCATGGAGAAACCCCGTTTCTACTAAAAATAGAAAAAAAAAATAGCTGGTGGTGGTGGTGCACGCCTGTGTAATCCCAGCTTCTCAGGAGGCTGAGGCAGGGGAATCACTTGAACCTGGGAGGTGGAGGTTGCGGTGAGCCGAGATTATGCCATCGCACTCCAACCTTGGCAAAAAGAGCGAAACTACATCTTTTTTTTTCTTTCTGGAGAATATACCAAGTAAGTGAAACTCCATCTCAAAAAAAATATATATATATTAATACGTTTTCTGGCCACTGCTCCTGTCTAGCTGGTATTGTGGCTAAAACCTTTAAAGAAAAAAAATGTTAATACAAAAATCAGTTGGGCATGGTGTCCCATGCCTGTGATCCCAGCTACTCGGAGACTGAGGCAGGAGAATTGCTTGAATCCAGGAGGAGAAGGTTGCAGTAAATTGAGATGTCACCCCACTCCCGCCTGGGCAACAGAGCGAGACATTGTTTCAGAATAAAATAAAAATCAGTATAGTAAGAGGAGATTATGCAAAAACAATAGTATAAATTGATGTGCCAGGCTCTCCTTTTCACATCTCTTCCTTTCCCTTAGGAAATTTTGCTTTCTTCGTTCTTTTCCCAAAAAGAGGTGTGTGTTATTTCCAATATTATATTTTAGCTACTTTACCATATTTTAGTTTTTAAAATTCATTTTCTTGATATTTCAGCTTCATTTCCGTTTCAGTTTGTACCTGACAGAAGCATTGATTAAATTTGCTTGGGTTTTTTGAATTCCATAATATAAATTCAAAGCTCAGAAGTGGGAGGAATACAGACCTTGATTAGTGAATTTCAAGCACCCAGTTCTTGGGTGAAGGACAAGGTTAATTCTACTCTAAATAATCCTGCCATTCAGAAAACCTGGTGTGTCTACAGGTAAAAAAAACAGGCTGTGACTACAAACCTGAAAGTAAAGGCAAACAACTGCCAGACAGGCAGGAAAACGGGGAGGCCCTTGGTAAATACTGCATGCCTCCTGGGGCCCCCATGGGCTTTGACTCAGGGAGGAGATGAAGGGAATTTGTTTAAGAAAGAAGACAAGTGGGACAGACAAAAGCTTCTGGCACAGGAAGTTAGTTCGACTAAGTCTACCGTAATGTAGGAATTTGAAAGGGTTCCTGGGTGTGAGGTTGAAGGGAAACCTGATTGAAAAGAAGCTGCTGGTGGTGAGTCTCTCCTTAAGCTGTTCCTGCCTTCTGGGTAGTTGGTGTAAACTCAGGTACCCAAAGAAAATGTCCCTGAGAATTTTAAAAGGTTAAGCACCTGGGAAATTGCTTCAATGCAATGGTAGCACTACCTCCGATGATACTCCCAAGCACGCTGTTAAAAAACAAAAAAGCTCACAGATCAAGTCGAGATGCTACAATTGTATGAAATCAAACACATGTAACAAAACAGGTGAAAAGATGGGATACATGCATCCATTAGGATAAGGTGCATGTGGGGTAGAAAGGGTAGCAGTGTTTATATGTTCTCCGAGTCACAACAGCTAAGGACAAGAACCAAGGATGACAATTTGAGATTTGTTTAGGGCCTGGGATCTGCAGAACAGATAGATGTACCTGGACACAGGGTGTAGGTGTGCTCTTACCAGAGAGACAGGGACAGTTATTCCTGGCCACAAAAGTAGTTCTCCCTGGTCCATTGAGCAGCTATGAAATTTATTTGCAGGCCAGGCATGGTGTCTCATGCTTGTATTTCTAGCACTTTGGGAGGCCAAGGTGGGTGGATCACCTGAGGTCAGAAGTTTGAGACCAGTCTGGCCAACATAGTGAAACCCTATCTCTACTAAAAATACAAAAAGTTAGTCAGGCGTGGTGGGTACCTATAATCCCAGCTACTCAGGAGGCTGAGGCAGGAGACTCGCTTGAACCTGGGAGGTGGAGGTTGCAGTGAGCCGTGATTGCACCATTGCACTCCAGGCTAGAAAACAGTGAGACCCTGTCTCCAAAAGAAAACAAAAAGAATAGTTAAAAAAAGTTCCAATTTGGAAGTAAATACCTTTAAGAGTACTTTAGATTTACACAGCACTCAATTACATGGGAAAATATAATCTGTACTTCACTTGAACCGTAAGCTATAATCTGAAGTTAACTACCATTACTGTGGTAAGAAAGCTAAAGCTTAATCAAAAAAAAAAAAAAAAAAAGTAAAAAAACAATAATCAAAAAAAGAAAAAAAAAAAGAAAGAAAGCTAAAGCTCCGGCCAGGCTCCGTGGCTCATTCCTGTAATCCCAACACTCTGGGAAGTTGAGACAGGCGGATCACCCGAAGTCGGGAGTTTGAGACCAGCCTGGCCAACATGGTAAAAACCCTGTCTCTGCTAAAAATACAAAAATCAGCTGGGCATGGTAGCTCGAGCCTGTAGTCCCAGCTACTCAGGAGGCTGAGGCAGGAGAATCACTTCAACCTGG